TTAGAACTTATACATACCTTTTCAGTGTTCCCTGCTTTTAAGTGGGAGTATGTGGTACAGAAATGTTTACCAATTAATAAATCCTTAAAATTACATTTCTGTGATATTAACACACAGAATAAAATTGTTATGATAGCCCTCAAATTTGAAAATATGAACTTCCTTGGTTCTTTGGAAACTACTTTTCACGTATGCTTCTTCCCATTTTTAGGTCTTTGTTAATCAGTGGCTGAGATTTAGTTTTGTAATTTTTGTAGTACCAAAACCAGCCTAGACTGAACTGTTAGTTCTCTGATAGATATATGGGCTTTTTCCAGAGCTGTTATAAGTTTTTTTTATAAAGCTAGCAATGTAATGTCAAAGTTTGTTTTTAAGTTGATAGATGTTACAATTTTTCTTTCTTTGTTTGCAAACATGAAAACCTTGCCAATTTCCCATTTGTCAAAGCTCATTTAAATTTTTTTACAGAATATTCAGATAAGCTTTTTGAGAGGGGTGTTGTGCTGAGGCAGGGCAATGCTCATAGGTAGGATGCTGAGTTTCAGGAATTTATGGCTGGGGCACTTTGTGGTTTGCCTTTAGGTGTGCCTGGCCCAGTGCAGCTGTGAGTGAAAGTCGCAGCTATATAACAGCTGCTGAGTGACCTAGGTAAAGTGGGTCAATGATACGAACCGTGTCTGTACCAGTATCCTCATTACAGCTGGTGCTAATTGGCACCTCTGTTGGCAGTCTCAGTGGAGTTACGGAACCAAAGCAAGCACCTGATTGGTCTCCTCGTTTGATGTGCATTGACAAGAGTTGTTTTTTCTAGTTCTCTCAAAAAACTCATTTATTCTGGTTGAGTAGAAGGTAGTTTTCAGTGTTGACAAGGGGTCATCACTTCCTGACTTTCTATGTATTTATACATAGAATTTGTAAGGAGAGCAGTGGTGAAAGATCAAGAGCAAGTATTGTTATATACACATAAAAAATACTGAAGCACCATGAAAGCGTAATCATACTTTTCTGTGAAATTACTTGAATGATTGATGTCACAGCAACCTCTGTGACAACGGAGAGAAACTAGATAAGGGAAAAGATTTTCTCTGTTTATTTTGTAGAAGCTATATTCATGCTTTGTTTTTTTCCTATGTGCATCCCCATCAGCTGAGTAAAATAAAAAAGAAATATTTTTTATAAAGCGTTGTAGAATACCAGAAGTTAACTAAAAACAGAAGAGCCTGAAAGACGTTAGGAGACTTGGAATTCTTTCTCATTCTGCTCTTGCATATAACTGAGAAGTGTGGGTCCAATGCTGTCTGTCAGAATTACTGTACTATGTGTCATAGTATAATATAATAAAATACTGTGTTAGGACCTGAACAAAGGGTCCTTAACCCAAGGTTATGTCTTCTTTTCCAACTGTAGCAAACAATACAAAAATTCTGTAAACTCTTGAGGGTTGTTGCACAATAAAATCTATTAAGGCCTCAACAGCATAGGTAGCAGCTGAAATAACTTCTTATATTTAAAACTGGCTAGATTGTCTGTGTTCCCAGTTGTCTTTTAAATCCTTGAATGCTTTTTTCTTTGAGAATTTCAGAATTAATAAAGAGATAGTGAGCATGTTGAGTAGTTGGAGAAGTTAGGGGTTGCTTGACTTGTAGAATTGGGAATTTATCAAAAATTACCATGCTATTACTGCACACACACAAAAGCCAGATGAGAGCTAAACGTATGACAGGTATTGTTTGCTTTTTACAGTCATCTCTGAAATTGTCTTAGATTTCTACATGGATATCTTCAAGTCATTCAATGTTAAAACCTGCAAATCTGACTTCACCATTTATGAGAGAGGGGCTAAAAACTCTTCATAGTTGTTTTATGTCTCTAATGTATTCTGAATATGTAAAGTGCTGCTCAAGTACTAAGTTTAGATATTTTCTCTTAAGCAAGACGATTGGATTCAGTTTGATTGTAACCTTCAAAGATCACTTAAAATGCTCTCTATGTCACTCTTTGTAGTCTTAACAGCTTTTGATGGTATCCCCAAGACCCCCTTCAAAACTCCCATTCAGTCTTGGTCTGTAATGTTTTGACATGCTTTCTCTTCTTAGGCTTTTTTTTGAACACTTATCTTGGCTGTTTTATTTGGTATTTAGGGATGTTCATTCCCTGGTTTACCTTTCCAATTTTTTCCTCTAAGTGCTGTTTTTGCAACATATTAAGACAGAAAGTGTAATGGACAGATTTTCATGCTAGGTAAATATCGTCATGGAACATAAATCCTCTAATGCCCAAAGAAAACATCTGAACACTGTAAAAGGAAGCGAAAATAATTTCTACATGCCTAGGGAGAGTAGAAGGTACGTGACTGTAGGAAATAAACGTTTTTAGCATAGGATATACACAGCTTTATTATTTATTTGAGGTTATTCTGAAACAGAATTTACAGATGATGTAAACAAAAAACTGAAAGCAGAAGGAACTGAGGCTAAATTAAGCATTTTTAGAGAAAATAACGTGTGCAACAAGTAATTATTTTTTGAACATAGGCATAAATAATAGTAGACAAAGGAAGAGTTTTATTCTCTTCTAATAAATCCTTCTGAATGCTTAGTAAAATGTTTTTCTTTAAATAAATGTGTCATGCTCATAATCTAATAGATTAGTCCTTTTCATGTCCATCATTGTTATTATCCTATCGAAAAAAAGAGTTGATATTTGTATTTTCTTTCATAAGGTAATAAATCTTTCATAGCTGTGTACTTGCTTTGGTTAATTGAAATGTATGATACACCCAAGATGCTTAAAATTGTTTCTTCTAGTCCACAAAGAAACAGGAATTCAGAGAACTGACTTGAACATTTTAATATAGTCATTATAATCTCATGAAATACATCTGTTTTTAGTAAAGATTTATATTCACCAAGACACTTAGATACACTGTTGATACACAAAATACATTTTATAATAAACAAGTTATATTCAGAGGCTATAATTTCACACAGCTGAAAGGCTGACATCAAAATGTCAATCTAATTCTTTTTCAATCTTTTTGCATTTGCAAAATCCAAAACATTTTCCAGCTGAAGCATTTCTCTACCAAAGAGTAAATTTCTACTTACTTCAATTATGCTTCTTTTTAAATTACCTTTTCCTAATCACAAAGGTATGGCAGACCACAAATCAAAGGCCACTGTCCCAAATATCTTAGCCATCCATATACTTTTGGCAAGGGCAAATTATAATTTTTTTGATGCTTAATTTATTTTCTTCTCCCACATACAAGATTTTGAACTTAATTTGTTTGCACAAGTTGTAAAGTTAGAAACAGTGCCTAGTTGGACAAAGTGGTACAGATTTTCAAGAAAACTCCTCTCATTGTATCGAGGGAAAATATAATCTCAAATATATAACTACATAGCTTAAAATGGTTTAAATATGTTAAGTGGATTGTTGTATTTCTGAAGAACTGTCAATTCTTATTAAGCTTAATAGTTGTATTTAATTATGTGCTGGACAGCAATCAATTAAAAAATGCCTATGTGTGATCATAGTATCCCTCATGAAATCTGTTCATTTAAGTTATTTCCCTTTTTTGTGCTATTTTAAATGTGTTGATTCATTCTGCTCTAATGAGAATACCATTGAGTAGCTAAATGATCTTCCATATGGTTGCATTCATAACTTCTTTTAACTGATCTTTTTCTCTGTTTTTTTTTTCCTTTTTTTTTTTTTCTTTTTATTTTCCCTTGGTAGCATTTTCTCACTCCAATTGAATGGGTGCAGAAAAGGTTCTGATTCCTTGTTCATACACTATTTTAAAACCGTAGCCACTGGAGTTGACTAGATTATGTCATAATGCCACTCGTCTTCATGTTAAACTGACCTGAAAGAAGGATTAGATTTAAGCTGATATTTTGAAATAGTTATATGTTTGGTTGAAGCTGGTTTTGGTTGTTTTGTTTTTGTTTTTTTTCCAAAATTGCTATCATGCTGAAGTGTCAAAAGCTATGTGGGCAACTGTCCTTTTGTAGCTGAAACATTTGAAGGAGTTGCTCTCTCCATCCATTCACTGTAATAAATGGATGCTGCCCATGTAACTTAAACAAAATTATGTGAGTTAACCTGCTGGACCTTGTGATAAATTGGGTGCCAATCCATGGTCCTGAAGAGCAGTTACCCAAACCATAGTCAAAAGTCGGACGTGGAGGCAGTGACTTCTTGTTAGGGGCAGAAATATATTGTGGTTTTCCGGTGCTGCTTAAAAATGCAGCAACATGTCGGTTAATCTTTTTAAATCTTTGTGAAATTCATTGGGATTTTGACATATAGATAAAATTTATTTAATGGTAGGTCACTTTATATATAAACAAGAATTAAAAGTCCTGGTTTAGACACCCAAGAAAGAGATCAGCACCTCAGAGATGTCATCTTCTCCCTTGCTGTGCCACTTTCCCTTCCCAGTATGGAAATACTAAGCACTAATTGTCTTAAATCTAAGAAAGAATGCCAAGCACAAAAATGCATGTAAAACTCTCCAATGAGTTGGTACCTAAATCAAAACTGTACTGTAGTATTTTATCTATTTATGATAAAAATTTACCTCGTCTGCTTCTCCTCTAGGTCTGAGAACAGTTTGTTCTTTTCCACATTTTGGCCTCACTTGGCGAAAGGCCCTGTTGAGTGTGGTGCTTACCCTCGTGGTCAGGG